AGTTCAAAGTGAAATTTTGGATTTAATTTGCAATCCAAGCATCGAAATTACTAAAGTATTCTTAACAAATTAGACACTTATTGTTATACGTTTTAGTTCAATACATATTGCATAACATATTTATTAAAAAATTATTATTTTTTAATTTAAAATTAAAAGTAAACAAATTTAAAAATACAGTTACACAGTTAAAATGCAAAAATTGATTGAGTCACATATACTTATATTATATTTTAATAATTAAATCAAAACGAGTATAAAAAATGTGTTAAATTGAATATGTACAAATTATTTTCTTAATAAATTAATATGAAGGAGAAATTTTATTAATAATACTTTAATAAATTTATAAGTCAAACTACACAATTAAAATGTAGATTCAAATTGAAATATATATTCTTATTTTAAATCATGAGAAAGGATAAGAAATTTCGCCCCTTAAACATAGTTTCGTGGCTCCGCCCACCGTATATATCCTGCTAGTTTTACAAAGTTTAGCATATTTGCTGGATACAATGAATGTAGCTAATGAACAAAATGGAAACCAGGTTGTCACAAGACATTTAAGGAAGGCAAAACATGCCACTTACCCCCTCAATCTTTTGTGCAGTGAAGATTACCCCTCAAACTTTTTGTAGTTTCCACTTACAAATATTTTAGAATGCACTAAACTCAAATCAATTTTACAGATATGGTAAGAGCTCATAGCCTCATACCATACTTTGCATTTTCTTTTCTAAATTTCCTTTTACCACCAAAAAGGAAAAACAAAATGCTTTAAACAAGAAAGACATTAAGAACGTGTTTGGCTTCCAGCTAAATGAAATTTTTGCAAAAATTTTAAGTTTTTTAAAAGTTCTAGATCATAAAAGTGCATATAAATTATAAGTTTATTATTTTGCAATCTAAATTATACTAAATTATAAAATATAAAATATTAGATAGAGGAGGATTTTTAATATTAAGAGATTTATTTTTCATCTAATAATAAGTGTTGTGTATTTTGATATAATTTACAAAATAATTACAAACTTACCTTACTTATGAGAAAGGAAAAAAATCAAAATATCTTAGTACTAAATCTGTCCAGATATTTAATTATAACCATTAAATATACAGATATAGTGAAAATCTTAATTTTATTAGATTTATCATATGATTATTATTAACATGTGATTATAATATAAGTTTTAATTTTATTAATTTTATTATATAATTATTATTAAATATCTTAATATTTTAAATATAACGACATATTGACATTCCATCTTTCCCTTGCTTATACTCGTGTTTGGGTTCTTCTCAACTGTCTTTGAGGTCTTTTTCCTAACGTCACTTGTAAACTCCGTAGCCACCAAACATGCTCTTAAGAACATCTACTACTACTGCAAAAGAATGATTATAGTTATGGTAACCATTAATTTAATTAATTAGGATGATTAAAACCGTTAAATTTTTAATTTAATTTAATTATTAAAAATAATTAAATAATTAATATATATTATTTAATAAATTTAAATTAATTTATAAATAAATATTTTTAAAATCAAATTTTTTATTTGTATCTAAAGTATTATTGTTTTTTATTATCAATACTTTTCATAATTTAAACAATAATATTCAAGACATAAATGTAAAGTTTAGTCTCTTTTTAAATATCAAAATTAATAATTATTTTTAAAAAAATTATAAATAAAATTAATTTCTTCAAGAAAATTGTGGGCGGCGTAACCTCACACCTAACTCGACACGAGTGTTCCATTGTCCTGTGTCGTTGTCAAGGACTCGTGTCTGCGCCGCGCCTCGCCGGCGTTGAGTATTATGCTGTAATAAAAGAGTACATCCCTATATCAGCCACTCGTTTATTTGAGTAGCAAAAATTCAATTTTTTAAAATAAAATTTTAATTTAAATCTCAAAAATAAAAAAAATAAATATTAAAAAAATTTATTAATTACGGTACATCTGGATTTTAAATGAGTTAAAATTACCTTAAAATACCGAAAGGGAATAAAAATAAAGATAAAAAAGAGTGCGTGAGCGTGACTATCACTTTCTCATAAAGACAAAGACTCATCTTGCACACCCCGTACCCGATTCTATTCTCCCATCTTCTTGGCATCTGCAACAAAACCCCCCACATTTTTCACGCATTCTCATTCCCTGAGCTCCCATTTCTTTCTCCCTCTAGATCAGTTCAATTGATTCAAAATGCAGTACAAGAACCTTGGTCGATCGGGGTTGAAGGTGAGCCAGCTCTCCTACGGCGCGTGGGTGAGCTTCGGCAACCAGTTAGACGTCAAGGAGGCCAAGTCCCTTCTGCAGTGTTCCAGGGATCACGGTGTCAACTTCTTCGACAACGCCGAGGTCTACGCCAATGGTCGCGCTGAGGAGATCATGGGCCAGGCAATCCGTGAGCTCGGATGGAAGCGGTCCGACATTGTCATCTCCACCAAGATCTTCTGGGGTGGTACTGGCCCTAATGACAAGGGTTTGTCTAGGAAGCATATTGTGGAGGGGACCAAGGCGTCGCTCAAGCGGCTCGATATGGATTACGTCGATGTCATCTATTGCCACAGGTTGGTTGATTGGAACATGGATTTGCTCTAGATTAATTTTCTTTGCTGTGTAGTTATATGATGTAGGATTGAAGTGGGATTTCCGATTTTGATTTAACCATTTAGGTTAGCAGTAATTGTTTTTGTTAGTGGAATTTGTGTGTGTTTGCTCAAGATCTCTGCTTGAAGAACTGATCTGATGCCATTCACTATAATTTGTGTTACAGGCCAGACTCATCGACTCCAATTGAAGAGACAGTGAGGGCTATGAATCATGTAATTGATAAGGGTTGGGCATTTTATTGGGGAACCAGTGAATGGTCTGCACAACAGATTACTGAGGCATGGGGAATTGCAGAGAGATTAGATTTGGTTGGGCCAATTGTGGAGCAGCCTGAGTATAATATGCTGTCTAGACACAAGGTAAATTGAAGTAAGATCTCGTAATTAGGGCTTTAAGAGTTTCTTCAATACTACGTTGCCTCTACCATATTGGTTTGACAAGATATATTTCCTACGCTAGATGGGATAAAATGCACAAGGAGTACATATTTATGTTATGATGAGTTCGTAAGCTAAGGCTTCACTCAGTATTTTACACAAAACATAGAAAATTCAATGCATTATAATAATAATTGAAACAAAGAACTTCAGAATTTTCCACTTTTTCTTCCATTTTTATTCACCTTATCATATTCTTCATCTTTTGGCGAGGTCTATGGTTGTGTCTTGCATGATTGATCTAACTGGAAACCAGAATAATGAATCCTGCTAGCATGAGGACTAGATGCTCATCATAACCTAAGTTACCAGCCTTCAATCTAGAGAGGGTTGTAATTGAAAATAGCATTCACTGCTGCAATCCTATAACTTTCCATTCTGTGTCATTTCTGGTCCTCTAACTATATATACTTCCCGTGATTATGTTCAAGGCTTTTCCAGGGGTAGTTCATGAGGGTTTTTTTTTTTTTTGTCTTGTATGCCAATGCAAGTTACTCTCTTAAGAAGGCTCTCTGGATTATTTCATTAAGTATTATCAATTATGTACATGTAGGTTGAATCAGAGTACCTTCCTCTGTACACCAACTATGGCTTAGGTCTAACCACTTGGAGTCCACTAGCTTCTGGAGTGCTGACTGGAAAGTACAACAAGGGAAGCATACCACCTGATAGCCGATTTGCATTGGAAAATTACAAAGTAAGACTTCTGACATAGCTTAGTTGTAAAGGAGTGTGAAACTCCTACAAGGTTAAGTTGAGAGCAGGTCTCTAAAGCAATACACCTTTGGTTAGAAAGCTTTTGTTGCATTACTTTTTAATAAAATCATTTGTGTTGATTTAAATACCATCATTTCTTTTCAGTACCAGAATTAGCTGAATCTTAAAACAGTTTGATGACTTCTTACCACAACTAACTAAATTTTAGCTCCTCCACACGTCCCCACACTTCAACTTCTATTCCTTCCTCCATAATTTTTACCTTCCTGTGTAAAACACTAAACTATTCCTTTTTTACTTGTAGAATCTTGCTAGCCGGTCACTGGTTGGTGATGTGCTGAAGAAAGTTAATGGACTCAAGCCAATTGCAGATGAACTTGGCATACCCTTAGCTCAACTTGCAATTGCATGGTGTGCTGCAAACCCTAATGTGTCATCAGTTATCACTGGAGCTACAAAGGAGTCTCAGGTTAGTTTTTATGGTTGATCTTATTTTGCAATGGGTAGTCACATCATTCTTAAGTGATCTTTTTTGAGCATTACTATTTATGGTAAATTGTATTTGTCTTGTTCAGCTTGTCTATCTATATCGTGAAAAAAAACAAAGAACTCCCATCCATCCAAACCATGTATATTTATGAGTTAAGAGATATGACCTGTACTTGCAGGCATGTTTTTGTTTGTATTAGATAAGCAAACTACTGAGTATTGAACATAAGGAACACTGAGGTGCATCATCTTTTAAACCATCCACAGAATTGAAAGTCTGAGTGAATAGGATAGATAAACAAAATTTCAAAATGTAGATGTTCTGCACCATTTTAAATGTTTCTAGGTCCTATAACATGTGATCACTAAAGCACACAAATCTCTTTCAAAATGGATGATTGTCTGGTTCATGAAGAGGCCACACTAGTATTGCAATTATTGCTAGTAATACTACAGCTAAATGATATTTTCCCACAATGCAGATTCAAGAGAACATGAAGGCAGTCGATGTCATCCCACTGTTGACTCCTGCTGTGATGGAGAAGATTGAGAACATCATTCAAAACCAGCCAAAACGCCCAGATTCATATAGGTAGATGCAGTACTCAATTCATTTTTCATTGTGTTACCGGGGATTTGTGGGATTGCCATCCTGGTAACATCCTTCTTGAGAAGATTATGCCATCATTTTGTGACTTGTGTTGCAGTGATGTAAGTTTCATTTTCGTCATTAGTTTGAACGCTGAAATTCCCGTGTATGCAATTGAGTGTCCCTCTTTTTCTTGCAAAGAAAAAAAAAATGAAGTGAGATAAAGAATTGTAATAATTGAACTTGCTGCCAATGATGGAGGTTGTGTTAATGAACATCATTTGTTCATGTTTGTGTTTTCATTGGCTTGGTTATCTTGTTTTCTAGTTTTATTATTATTTTTTAAAAAAACTTTCGGTTTTTGAAAACTACATTGGACCTCACTAATATGAAGTTGATTCCATAAAAAAAAAAACTTTCTTAATACATGTTTCTTTATTCATAAAACTCAAACTTAATATCTTATTTAATAAGAATTTAAAAGTTGTTTTTAAATTTATTATGTTTAGTATATTTATTTAGTACTTATTTTCTAGTAAGAGCTTGTTTGGTGTGGCTTATGAAAGCTTTTGCTTCTTGAGTACTGTTATGAGTGATAAATTTAAATTTTTATTTGAGGGAAAAATAGAGATTTAACTTTTAGAAA